GATAAATTAAACTTATTTTTTCTATGGTTACTATCAGAAATATAATTTAGAATCCAACCCAGTAGAAATAAACGAATCGGCCCAGCCCTTCAGGATTGAGCCTCTGCAGTATAAGAGAGATGTGGTATATTACATACGTTGAGGGTATATGAGGTGTTAAAATTGAGTCTTTTTACTTATCCTGGTTAGGTGTGAACATAATTTAAGGCATATACAATAAGCAGGACATTTAATTTAATTTAATACTTAATTTAATTTAACTTAATGTATTTTAACAACATTAAGCAGCTAAACTGAATATAAGCCTCTATTGTCAGTTTTTTTTTTTTTCTTCTTCTTTTTGTAACGGTTAAATTTCCCTGAGGTGAATTTTATAGTGGACACACCAGTATTTATCAGGGAAAATAAAACAAAACAAATGCGGTCAGGACGTATACATTATGAATTTTATTTAAATGAAGTATGAGTATAACATAACATTGTACGATGAGTATATGATGAAATAATGTAACTCTACCGACTGTACCCCAAACCCTTTTTTTTTTTTCTGTATCCCCTTGTTTTTTGTTCATTTTCCTTTACTGGAAATAATTTGGAAAATAAAGAAAAATGTAAATTGCAAAAAGTATCTACCGTATATACTCGAGTATAAGTCGACCCAAATATAAGTCAAGGCCCCTAATTTTACCCCCAAAAACTGGGAAAACTTATTGACTCGAGTATAAGACTAGGGTGGGAAATGCAGCAGCTACTGGTAAATTTCTAAATAAAATTAGATCCCCCCAAAATTATATTAATTGAATATTTATTTACAGTGTGTGTATATAATGAATGCAGTGTGTGTGTGTATGAATGCAGAGTGTGTGTGTGTGTATATGATGCAGAGTGTATGTGTGTATGTGATGCAGAGTGTGTTTGTGTATGTGATTCAGTGTGTGTGAGTATGTGATGCAGAGTGTGTTTGTGTATGTGATGCAGAGTGTGTAACCTTGGTGGGGGGTGGGCATTTTTATTATTTATTTTTATTATTATTATTTTAATATTAGTATTACATTTTATTTTTATTTTTAATATTACAACATTTTTATTATTATTTTATTTTAATATTATTAAAATTTTTATTTAATTTTTTTCGTCCCCCCTCCCTGCTTGACACATGGCTAGGGAGGGGGGCTATATAATTCCCTGGTGGTCCAGTGGATGGGCTGTGCAGTAGGGGGGCTGGGAGCAAGCTCTTACTTACCTTTACAGCAGCTCCTGTCAGCTCCCTTCTCCTCCATGGCTTTCAGCTCCACTGTAAGTCTTGCGGTCTGAGTACCGCGCGGAGCGTTGCCATGGTAACCTGTGGCAACACTCTGATGCCGCGGCTTTTTTGAGATTTACAGTGGAGGTGACAGGAACGGAGGAGAAGGGAGCTGACAGGAGCTGCTGTAAAGGTAAGTAACAGCTTGCTCCCAGCCCCCAACAGGACCGCCGTGCTTGTAATGAGCCCGGTGGTCCTTGTCTGTATTATGGCAATGCAAGTTGCCATAATACAGACAGTGACTCGAGTACAAGACGAGTGGGGGTTTTCAGCACAAAAAATGTGCCGAAAAACTCGTCTTATACTCGAGTATATCCGGTATGTCTAAATTATCTAGAGATATCCTTTAGTGATGGGGAGATTTATCGTATGATTAGCTCCACATGCTACAAATATTGCAAGATTTTAGGTGGTTTGACTGGAAGGGCGGACATGGGAAAGGGCTATGCTAAGGTATTTTTAAGTAAAATATTGAGTAAGGGCTGCAATTAATCAAAAAACATGATGCTCACTGAGTTAGGGTCAGCACTCCCCACATACACATAATGTAAAGAAAAAATACTCAGGCACTCACTGTTAAGTTTCAAGCAGATTTATTGAAACATCCAGGTGCACAGCAATGTTTTAACCTGTACCCAGGTCTTTGTCAAGCTTGACAAAGACCTGGGTACAGGTCGCAACATTGCTGTACGCCTGGATGTTCCAATAAATCTGGTGGAAACATAAAACAGTGAGTGCCTGAGTATTTTTTCTCTAGATATTTTTAGGTGACTTCTCAAAATAATAGCCATCTTTGTAAAAACTAGTTTAGAACAATTAATACCAACTAGTAATTTAATTCATTTTAATTAGTGATGTCCCGAACTGTTCGCCGAACGGTTCGCCACGGACTCATCATTGAGTAAACTTTGACCCTGTACCTCACAGTCTCAAAATAATAGCCATCTTTGTAAAAACTAGTTTAGAACAATTAATACCAACTAGTAATTTAATTAATTTTAATTAGTGATGTCCGATCTGTTCGCCGAACTGTTCGCCACGGACTCATCATTGAGTAAACTTTGACCCTGTACCTCACAGTCAGCAGACACATTCCAGCCAATCAGCAGCAGACCCTCCTTCCCAGACCCTCCCACCTCCTGGACAGCTCACTAAGAATGCAGCTTCACAATGGATGCTGCCAGGAGGTGGGAGGGTCTGGGAGGGAGGGTCTGCTGCTGATTGGCTGGAATGTGTCTGCTGACTGTGAGGTACAGGGTCAAAGTTTACTCAATGATGAGTCCGTGGCGAACCGTTCGCGAACCGTTCGGCGAACAGTTCGGGACATCACTAATTTTAATTAATTTATTTAAGTTATGCTATACACTCACATGCGCTAAAAATGTAAACTACTAAAAAAAAAAGTGGGGCACAAAAATGTATACTTCCTTTCTTAAAGAGGGACATGTAGAAGGTATGTTTTCAGTCAATATATAGGAATAAAGTTAATCTACACCGGTAATATCAATAATGTTCCCACTACATAATTAGAATTTCAAAAATGCTCACACAGGGATTAAATCAGTCATTGCATTTAGCACTAAATTCATGTTTGAGCAAATAATTATGTCAATTTTAAATTGAGTGCATCTGGGCAAACTGTGTGCATCTACTGGTGTAAAAGATAGACTATAAGCAATATTTAGAAATAACTTTTTTTTTTTTTTTTTTAAATGCATTTATTGGGTGAAAGTTAATTCTTTGAGAATTACCTGCTGCAGATATTTTACTATATTAACCAATTAAGTGGCAGGAAATACAAAGCAGTAATGTGTATTTGTTTGGCCACCCAGTTGAATATTCAAAGTTTTTAGCTTTTTCACTGATCCTGGACCTTTTAGTTTTGCTATAATGAAGGAATTCGGTCATGCCTGAAAAATTACAATGAAAGTATAATAAAAAATTGTACAACCTGAATGACTCTCATTAATTCATGTAAGAGCAGGATAGCAATAATATTAATATTCAATAATGTTAATTGCTAAAAATAAATACATTATTGTTACAAATTAGTTTTATATTTTGATTTCTGGTAGGCTCATTCTGAGTTTATTCTCTAAACTAGTAATTGTGAAGCATTGGAAAGGAATTTTTTTTTTTTTAATCTTTATTTTTGCATTGACAAAGTGCGGCGTAAATAGTAGCAGGAGGCTTATGCAAAAGCCAATTCACAATGCATGCAATCACGACATGTTATTACAGAAAGGAAGTTGTGGTTAGTAGAGTTGAGCGAACGCAAACTGAAAAGTTCGGGTTTGTACCGAACATTAGGTTTTTTGGATCCCGGACCCGAACACGGACATATGACTGTATGTTCGGGCTGGAGTTCGGTGTTCAGCAATTTAATGGCACGTTTTGAAAGGCTGCAGGGCAGCCAATCAACAAGCGTTTGACTTGTGTGCCCTTAGAAGCCATCACAGCCATGCCCACTAATGGCATGGCTGTGATTGGCCAGTGCAGCATGTGACCCAGCCTCTATATATAAGCTGGAGTCGCGTAGCGCTGCAGGCACATGCGGTCTTATTAGTGTAGGGAGAGGATGCTGCCGCTGATAGGGACAGCTTAGGAAAGAATTCTGCAAACTAGTACATTAGTGGGGTAGTGTGCACTTCATATCTGAGAGTCAAATAGAAGCTTCAAATACCTCGGTTACATCAGAGTTTTAAAAAGTAAAATTTTTTTGGTGCGAAATAGTACATTAGTGGGGTTGTACATTAGTGGGGTGCACTTCATATCTGAGAGTTGAATAGAAGCGTCAAATACTGCTGTCACATTGCAGTTTTAAAACTTAAAAATGTTTTGGGTCCTAAACTGCTAAATAGTATTTTAGTGGGGTGAACTTCATATCTGAGAGTCAAATCGAAGCGTCTAATAGTGTGCTTACAGCGCAGTGGTAAACATTCTTATTTTCTGGGTGCTAATCTGCTAAATAGTATATTTTGTGGCCTGCTCTTCATATCTTAGAGTCAAATAGAAGCGTCTAATACTGCGGTTACAGCGCAATTGTAAACATTCTAATTGTTTTGGTGCTAAACTGCTAAATAGTACATTTTGTGGCCTGTTCTTCATATCTGAGAGTCAAATAGAAGCGTCTAATAGTGCGCTTACTGCGCAGTGGTAAACATTCTTATTTTCTGGTTGCTAATCTGCTAAATAGTACATTTTGGGTACTGTTCTTCATAGCTGAGAGTCAAATCGAAGCATCTAATAGTGCGGTTACAACGCAATTGTTAACATGCTAATTGTTTTGGTGCTAAACAGTACATTTTGGGGCCTGTTCTTCATATCGGAGAGTCAAATCGAAGTGTCTAACAGTGTACTTACTGCGCACTTGTAAACATTCTAATTGTTTTGCTGCTAATCTTCTAAATAGTACATTTTGGAGCCTGCGGTGCACTTCTGAGAGTCAAATAGAAGCGTCAAATAGTGCGCTTACCGCGCAGTGGTAAACATTCTAATTGTTTTGCTGCTAATCTGCTGCTTACATTGGAGTTTTAAAAAGTCAAGTTTTGGGGGGCGCTAAATTGTATATTTTGGGTGTTCACTTCATATCTGAGAGTCAAATCGAAGCGTAACTTTGATTAGAATTTACTACATCGGTCACTTGTAATATTGTTTCACACCTACAACACTTGTTACACAGATCTAAGTGATAGAAAACAGACTGATATGTTCTACACTACAGACTTCCTTCCAAATGATCAAAATTAAAGGACTTCAAGTGGACTCATTACAATTACAGAGCCTCTACAGAGTCCTGTATTGTTATTTGTTGTCACTACCTTCCCGCGTCGGGAGTGGGTCATTTGTGCGCCTGCTGCCTTCATTGCATGCGGTAGCCGTTTCTCAGGGTCCCTGTACGGAATGGAACCCTGATTCCCCATTACCCGTGATCACCATGGTAGGCGCAGAAACTAGCATCGAAAGTTGATATGAATGACATCCGCATGCAAAGTCGCCGCCACGGGGATGTGCGATTTGCACGAGGTTCTCTAGAGTCAACAAAGTTCTAGCACAACTATAATATCAGCAGCTACTCTGTGGAACAGAGTTGTCTTTTTTTATATGTCCCAATATTTTGGGGGCTACCCCAATTAAAAAAAAATAAAAAAATATATATATATATATATATATATATATATATAAAAATAAAAACAGTGTTGGCCGCCTCCTCAACCTATGGGTCACTTAGTATAAACTAGGTACACATTAGCAGAGGATTGTGAAGGCCTTTTCTCCATGCATCAGGAGTTGAGCATTTCTCCATGCATCAGGACTGCAAGAAATGCACTGCAGGCCGCAAATGTTTCTTTATTTGTATGTCCCAATATTTTGTGGGCTACTACAATTAAAAAAAACAAAACATAAAATACAGTGTTGGCTACCTCATCCTCCTTCTCCACCGCCACGGTCACCGCCTCCTCAACCTATGGGTAACTTAGTATGTACACATTAGCAGAGGCTTGTGAAGGCCTTTTTCTCCATGTATCAGGAGTTGAGCATTTCTCCATGCATCAGGACTGCAAGAAATGCACCGCAGGCCGCAAATGTTTCTTTTTTGTATGTCCCAATATTTTGGGGGCTACCCCAATAAAAAAAAAAAATATATATATATATATGGCTACCTCATCCTCCTCCTCCACCGCCGCTTCCACCTACACCGCCATAGTCACCGCCTCCTCAACCTATGGGTCACTTAGTATAAACTATGTACACAATAGCAGAGGCTTGTAAAGGCCTTTTCTCCATGCATCAGGAGTTGAGCTCAGTTTGAACAATGAAAGAATACTCTGCACTCCAACCCTCTCTCAAATGGATAATTCTGGTGATCCTCCTGACAGCCATGCTTTAGATTTTGATTTATGTTGTTCCAAAGCTAAAATCAAAGATTCCATCTAGTGTTATTTTATGGCTCAGCTGTATTTTACATTTTTATGTTATTTTAAGTGATTTCCCTATCCACATTTGTTTGCAGGGCACTTGTCCTACTCTTACCCTCATTTTACTTGCTTTTGCAGCCCTCTAGCCCTTTCCAGGAGTTTTTTAGAGGCATTTTTTGTGTCCAAAAGTTCGGGTCCCCATTAACTTGACAATGGGGTTCGGGGTCAAGTTCGGGGTCAAGTTCGAGCCCGAACCCAGACTTTTTTTAAAGTTCAGCCGAACCCGCCGGACCCGAACATCCATGTGTCCGCTCAACTCTAGTTGGCACAATAAATCAACATTTTTCAGATTTATATACTTATAGAATTAACATAAACAATAACAGTAACCATGTTCCTATCCAGCTATGTTGTTTAGTCATTGCGGAACTCTGCTATGCGTGAGCCTCCCCATCAAGCCCAGGTAGTAAGTAGGTCACCTGCCTAGGATGTCATCCTTCCCCTATCCTTCCATCTGGGGCATCTATTCCGCTGGTCGCCTCCCTCGGAAGCCTTCCGCCGGGGCTCTCCTGATAGCTGTACACGCCGGCCCAGACCAGTCGCTCCCTGAGAGCGCCCAGCAATTTGTGATCCAGAGGACTGGTATTCTCCCCCTCCATACCTCTCTCTGATTCCGCCTTCCCGGGAGATTGGTTGTGTTGGTCGCTGAGTATGTCGTTAGGCCCAGAAGGGGTGTGATGGAGTCTCTGAAGATCCCTTTCTGTTTCTCCAGTATTTGAGCGTGGGGGAGGGTTTCTAGTGG